GCCTAGACCCTTCTTCAGAAAATGTTTGTCTGAAGAAGGGCCTAGGCCCGAAACGTCAGCTTTCCTGCTCCTCTGATGCTGCTTGGCCTGCTGTGTTCATCCAGCTCTACACCTTGTTATCTCAGATTCGCCAGCATCGGCAGTTCCTACTATCACTGGAACTATTAACAAAGAACAAAGAAACAAAGAAAATTACAGCACAGGAACAGGCCCTTCGGCCCTTCAAGCCTGCGCCAATGCAGATCCTCTAGATAAACCTGTCGCCTATTTTCCAAGGATCTGTATCCCTCTGCCCCCTGCCCATTCACGTATCTGTCTAGGTACATCTTAAATGACGCTATCGTGCCCGCCTCTACCACCTCCGCTGGCAACGCGTTCCAGGCACCCACCACCCTCTGTGTAAAGAACTTTCCACGCATATCTCCCTTAAACTTTTCCCCTCTCACCTACTGGTGAACTAAATGCATTTTTATAATAATTGACAACATTTACATGGTGAACTGTTATGCACCCCCACCCTCCCCCAACCCCAGATTTTTATTGAATTAAAGTTTCACCATCTGCCATGATGGGATATGAACCGCTGTCCTTAGGACATTAGCCAGGTGTTCTGGGTTACTAGCCCAGTGACATTACCACTACACCTCCACCTCCCATTTCATTGTGGTGAAAGCCTCATTGGTTAACTTCTTCAATGCTTCTGTTTATACAGCTCTGTCTCATTCTGTGTTGCTGTTGCTATGCCGTTGAACCTGTCTGTGTTTGACTGTTCACTGATGTAGCCCTGGCTGTGTCTCTGGAGCCAGATTTCCTGCTCAGGCAGGTCCAGTGAACCTTACACAGAACCTGGAATGCAGGGCAGCCTCACACACTGCTGACAGTTTGTTAGCTTGCTTTTTGTGTGTGTCCTGGCCACAGTGCTATACTGTTTACTGCAGCTAGCGTTTACGGGTCCTTTCGTAGCGCTGCAGTGGCTTTGTGTTTTCTGCCCCTGTCAGCAGTGAATCAGTGCTGTACCCCTTTTCTCTCAAACATTTTGAGGGGTGTTAAGATAACCACTAACTCTATCATTAACTCCAATTCAGCCTCTTTAAAACTGTATCCAATGCCCTAGTAGTAGCATCTACTCAATGATCGAACGATTAATCTGGCTTTTGCCTGTGGGACATCAATTCTAAGCAAAGAACTCTAACAAATTCTTAAAAGTCCATATCTTTTGGGAACTCTTCAGATTAGCACGCGGTATTGACACAGTGCTTCCCTTTGTCTTCACAGTTTGTTCAAACTGATCTGTAACTACTTGGTCTAATAAAGTTTGAGCTTAGATAGGATTTCAATGGCTTTCCAGTTCATGCTGGGGGGTGTGGTATCTCTCATTCTGCGCTTTCAGCACTGTACTTAGTGTTCCCTTTCTATTTTATGGCTTGGACCTAGATTCAGAGCCTGTTCAATGGGCTCCCCACGATTCCTCAATACATCTTGGTCTTTACCTTCCGTTGGTTTAATGTAGATGTGCTTTCTCTTTGTTCAGCAAGGTGCTGACTCCAAATAGCTATTCAAATATGGCCTACATGTGACTCCAGACCCACAGCAATGTCCTTGAGTTTTAGCTGCCCTTTGAAAGAAGCTGAGGTCACAAAAATTAGCAACAGAATTAGACCACTTGGCCCTTAAGCCTGTTCCAGCATTCAATAATCCGACCCCACCACCAAAGACATTTTTCCCTTCCCACCCTTATCTGCCTTCCGGAGGGATCACTCTCTCCGTGACTCCCTTGTCCGGTCCACACTCCCTTCCAGCCCCACCTCACCCGGCACTTTTCCCTGCAACTGCAGGAAGTGCTACACCTGCCCCTACACCTCCCCCGTCACCCCCATCCCAGGCCCTAAGAAGACCTTCCACATCAAGCAGATGTTCACCTGCACATCTGCTAATGTGGTACACTGCATCCAGTGTTCCCGTTGTGGCCTCCTCTACATCGGGGAAACCAAGCGGAGGCTCGGGGACCGCTTTGCAGAACACCTACGCTCGGTTCACAATAAACAACTGCACCTCCCAGTCGCGAACCATTTCAACTCCCCCTCCCATTCCTCAGATGACATGTCCATCCTGGGCCTTCTGCAGTGCCACAACGATGCCACCCGAAGGTTGCAGGAACAGCACCTCATATTCCGCTTGGGAACCCTGCAGCCCAATGGTATCAATGTGAACTTCGCAAGCTTCAAAATCTGTGTTTATCCAGCTCTACACCTTGTTATCTCTTATCTTCAATAAAGTCCTGGCTGATTGTGGTCTCAGATCCATTGTTTCTGTCTGCACCCTCTGTACCTTCCCAATTCTGTCACGAACCTCTGCAAAAAAAAGTATTCCTTTACATTTCCACCTTCATGGGAAGAGCCTGTATTTTTACACAATGTTTCCAGTTTTACATTCTCCCATATAGAACAGCCTGTCAAGCCCCTCACTATTTACGTTTTAAAAAGTTCACTTTCAATCTTCTCAGGAATTCAGTGAGAACAGAGACAACCAACCTGACTGGTCAAAGAGAATCCTTTCATCCCAGGAATCAGTTGTATGGACCTTCCCTGAACTGGGTTCAATGTGGTGATATCAGGGAGACCAAAACTACCTGAGTACTCTCGATATGGTAGGGGGAGCCAGCCTGTTGTGTTTAAAGCTGCTCACCACCACCTTCTCAAGGGGCTGTTAGGGATAAGCAGTAAATGCTTATTGAGTGACACCAACATCCTGTCAATGAGTGAAAGAATAGTCTTCACTTTCATCTGACATTGCAACTGCACACCTAAACACTTCTTCAATGCAATGAGGGATTCTGCCTCTATCATCCTTACAGGCAGCAATTTCCAGATTCACACCATCCTCCGGGTG